TAGTCAATAAAACACAGGTAAACATCTTTCTGGTATTCTCTGCTTTCAGCCAAGATCCATCTGACATCAGCAATGATATCCCTGGTTCCACATCTTCTTCTGAATCCAGCTTGAATTTCTGGCAGTTCCCTGTTGATGTACTGCTCCAAATGTTTTTGAATTATCTTCAGCAAAATTTTACTTGCATGTGATATTAATAATATTGTTCATTAATTTCTGCATTCTGTTGGGTCACCTTTCTTTGGAATGGGCATGAATATGATTCTCTTCCAGCCAGTTGGCTAGGTAGCTGTCTTCCAAATTTCTTGGCATAGACAAGTGAGGGCTTCCAGTGTTGCATGGCTTGTTGAAATATCTCTGTTGGTATTCCGTCAATTCCTGGAGCCTTGTTTTTTGCCAGTGTCTTTAGTGCAGATTGGACTTCTTCCTTCAATATCATCACTTCTTGACCATATGCTACCTCTTGAAATGGTTATACATCAACCAATTCTTTTTGGTACAGTGACTCTGTGTATTCCTTCCATCTTCTTTTGATGCTTCCTGTGTCATTCAATATTTTGCCCATAGAACCCTTTAATATTGCAACTCGAGGCTTGAATTTTTTCTTCAGTTCTCTCAGCTTGAGAAATGCCAATCCTGTTCTTCTCTTTTGGTTTTCTAACTCCAGGTCTTTGTACATTTCATTATAATACTTTGTCTTCTCGAGCCACCCTTTGAAATCTTCTGTCCAGCTCTTTTACTTCATCATTTCTTCCTTTCATTTTAGCTACTCTACATTCAAGAGCAAGTTTCAGAGTCTCTTCTGACATCCTTTTTAGTATTTTTTTCTTTCCTGTCTTTTTAATGACCTTTTGCTTTCTTCATGTATGATGTCTTCAATGTCCTCCCACAACTCGATGAGCAATTGATGGTCTATTCTGCAGCTGGCCCCTGGTCTTGTTCTGACTGATGATATTGGCATTGGAAGAATGGGATACTCCTCTAACAAATACCTACAATGTGGAAGTGGTTTTGGAATTGAGTAATAGGTACAGCCTGGAAGAGTTTTAAGGTGGGTAATAGTAAGAGCTTAGATTGTCTTGAAGAGACTGTTGATAAAATTATGGATCTCAAAGGAAATTTTGGTGAGGGAAAGGAAATTCAGAAGGAAGTGAGAAAAGCTATAGAGAAAGTTTCTATTGTCTTAGAGAATACATATGGCACCAGCAACAAGATGTTGCTAGAAATGTGAACATTAAATGTGCTTCTGGTGAGCCTTTAAAAGAAAGTGATGAACATGTGATTGGACAATGGAGAAAGGACAAGGCTTTTTATGCAGTGGCAAAGAACTTGTCTGAATTACGTTCAAATGTTTGGTAGAAGGCAGAATTGTCCAGTGATGAACTTGGCTATCCGGCTGAGGAGATTGCTAAGCAAGATCTTAAAAGAGCTGTGTGGTTTTTCCTTGCTGCTTATAGTAAAACGTGAGAGGAAAGAGATAGACTTAAAAATGAATTGCGCAAAATGAAAATAGAACTTAAAGATTTGGAAAATTCTGTTGTACAAACTAAGGACACGTGTCTTAGAGTGTTCACCAAGGACGTGGCTACACAATCTTTTGTTAAAGAGATTAATCCTATGACTGATGGATCTAACCAACTACCACAGCAGAAAACCCATCAGCTTAGACTGAAGGGGACAGAGAAAAACAAAAGGAAAGAAAGCTGCCTGTCTCTTGGAATTCTACAGGCAAGCAGAGCTGCCTTGTTGTCAAAGAGTGGGATCATGGCCTCTGAGGTCTCAAAGGTAGTGCCACAGCCTACTAGGTTTCAAAGAGTCAGATCTTCTCCAACTTGGTTCCACAGAGTGGGGCTGCCATTCAGTTTGGCCAAGAGGATGGGGTCGCTGCCCAAAGCTGAGGGGTTGGGGCTGCCATGCCAAAGGGGCAGAAGAATGGGGCCTGCTGGGGACGACAGGGTGGAGTTGCCACTCAGATGGACTAGGAGAATGGGGCCGCTCAAATGTGAAGGAACAGAGTTGCCATATCGGTGGGCCTGAAAGGGCTGTGTGGCCTTCACTCAGAATCCAGACAGCATGGCCAACACCAAGAGTCTGAAGGGTGAGGCCATTGCCCAAATGATCTCAGAAGGCAGAGGATTATTTTCAATCCTTGAGAGCTAATGTAATTTGTTTTGATGGGTTTTGAACTTGCTTGGTGCTGGTTATCCCTTCTTTCCCTCCAATTTCTTCCATTTGTAACGGAAATGTCAACCATTGTGCTTTGAAAAACAGAGAACTTGTATTCTAGATTTCACAGGATCACAGATGAAGAGGAACTTTGCCCCAGGATGGAATACACCTAAAGTGTCACCCATATTTGATTTAGATTATTCAAAAGATGAGATTTTTGGACTTGGAGTTGATTTAAGACTTTTGGGATGATGTGATAGGGTGAATGTGTTTTGCATGTGGCAAAGGACATGAATTTTGGGGGGGCCAAAGAGTGGAATGTTATGGATTGAATTGTGTCCCCACAAAATATGTGTTTTAAATCCTAACGTCTATGATAATGAGACAGGATTAGAGTAGGGTGTGTCTTAAGACAATCTCTTTTGAGATACAAAAGAGATTAAACAAGCAAGTGGAGAATCAGAGATGGGGGAAGATTGATGTCAAGCCAAATGGAAATCTCCAAGGAACCAGGAAACAAGCTGAAGAGACAAGGACCTACCCCCAGAGCTGACAGAGAGAGAAATCCTTCTTCTAGAATCCTAAATCCGGATTTCTAGCCTCCTAATCTGTGAGAAAATAAATTTCTGTTTGTTAAAGCCACTCACCTGTGATATTTATGTTATAGTAGCACTAGATAACTAAGACAGTATTTGACTGAGCTTCTCCATTGTCTCTTTCTTTTGCAGAATGTACAAAGTATGAATCTAGGAAAATTGGAAGTTGTCAAAAATGAAATGGAATGCATGAAGATCGATATCCTAGGCATTAGTGAGCTGCAATGGACTGGTATTGGCCATTTGGAATTGGACAATCATATGGTCTACTATGCCAGGAATGACAAAATTGAAGAGGAATGGAGTTGTGTTCATCATCAAAAAGAACATTTCAAGATCTATCTTGAAGTACAACGCTGTCAGTGATAGGATAATATCTATACGTCTACAAGGAAAACCAGTTAATATGACTATTATTCAAATTTACACACCAACCACTAATGCTAACGATGAAGAAATTGAAGATTTTTACCAACTTCTGCAGTCTGAAATTGATCAAAAATGGAATCAAGACGCATTGATAATCACTGGTGAATGGAATGCAAAAGTTGGAAACAAAGAAGATTGTTAGTTGGAAAACATGGCCTTGGTGATAGAAACGACTCGGGAGATAGCATGATAGAATTTTGCAAGATCAACGTCTTATTCATGGCCAATACCTTTTTTCAACAACGTAAACAGTGACTATATATGTGGACCGCACAAGATGGAATACACAGAAATCAAATCAACTACATCAATGGAAACAGATGACGGAGAAGCTGCTAGCAAATAGCTCCAGTTAGTTGGTTATTATTCTTTTATCTCATACCTTTCCAGCATTCTTCTTCACTCCATTCACTCCAAATTCCATCATCTGAACAATAAATATTCACTTTGCTTCTTACTAAAAGGCATATTTGGTGGCTTTTATTTGATGTTCTCTTGATGCACATTTCATTTTCCATTGTGGTAAACTGAAAACCAAGGGAAAATAAGCTGCCATCATTTGATCTAATTGGAACTAGACAGATAACATTTGATTTGTCACTTTCAAAGTAGATTTTGCTACATAAAAATATATGCATCAAAAACACTGAAAGAATATATACCAAAATCCTAACAGTGATTATCTCTCTGGATGTTTGATTATTTTTTTTCATTTTTTTATTCTCTTCCTTATCTGTATTTTCAAATTTTTCTATAATGATAATGGATTACTTACAGTAAAGGGTAAAATTCCCAGGTAGCCATTGTGTTTATGAAGCCCCAGCATTTGGATTAGTGTCAAATTTTCCAGAGTCCGTAAACTGGAAGATGCTACATACACTGAGTTAGCAAAAGACAGAGCAATCATGTGAATGGTGTCTCTGTGGAAGCTATAGAGCCCATACACATAAAGTTTTGTTTGTTTGTTTTCCTTATTGTTGTTTTGGTTGACTGCCATCAGATCTGCAACAGTGCTCAACATTTGGCATGAACTATCCTTTCAGATATAAAAATATGACAAGGCCAAGTGATCTCAAAGGAAAAAAAAAATCACTGAAGCAATTGCTTCTATTTTACATTTCAAAGAGCTGAAGAGTGTTTCTCATCTAAAATAATGGCTTTTCTTTTGTTGTAATTATCTTGAGAACCAGCATAATGTAGTGAAAAACTTAAGTGGGCCGGGAATCAGGTCTGGATTCTAGTTCTAGCTGTGTAATTTGATTATAAATCAATTGACCTCCTTGGGACTCAGTTTTCTCATCTGTACATAAATAAATTAATTACAAGCAGTGGCTCCCCTACTTGTCTCTGTTGTTATTGTGTGCCTTACAGTCGATTCCGACTCATAGTGACCCCATGTAACAGAGTAGAACTGTCCATAGGGTTTTTTTAGGCTGCAATCTTTACAGGAGCAGATTGCCAGGTCTTTTCTCCCACGGAACCACTTGGTGGGTTTGAACCACCAACTTTTTGGTTAGCAGCCAAGCCTTAACCATTAGGCTCCAGGACTCCTTTACTTGTCTGTGTTGTGCGATATCTAGCCTATTTCAACTCATAGCAACCCTATAGGACAGAGCAGAACTACTCCATAGAGTCTCATAGGCTGTAATCTTTATGGGAAAAGACCACCAGGTCTTTTTTCCCACGAAGCCGCTGGTGGGTTCTCACAGCTGACCTTTTGGTCAGCAGCTGCGTGCTTAACCATTGTGCCACCAGGACTCCTTTGACTCGTCTCTACCACTCTCTAAATTGGAAACCAATGAATAAAATTAACATATAACCAGGTAGGGCCGAAGGCATCAACAATTATTAGTGCTAGAGGGGAATTCGTCTTGCAACCATTACCTCCTTCCCCTGTCAGCCCCTCTTCCCTTGGCACAAAAAATTCTCTGTAGCCCTGTCAGACCCTGCTCTCATTTTGACCTGAAACGTGTTTCTCAAGAAGTGGTTGTGGTGTTTGCTTGTTTGTTTTTACCTGAAGCCTCTGCACAATCCATTTTAGGCCCTTGGCAACTTTAATTTCGTGACACAAAATTGGAAATGAGGGAATAGACTATCTCTAAGGTCCTACCAAACTCATTGCTGTCAAGTCGATTTTGACTCATAGAGACAGTATAGGACAGAGTAGAACTGCCGCTTATGGATTTTCAAGGCGGTAATTTTTACAGAAGTAGCCTGCCACATTTTTCTCCTGCGGAGCAGCTGCTGGGTGCAAACTACTGTCTAAGTCCTATTAGCTTTAAAATTGGAAACCAATGAATAAAATTAGCGTATAACAACGTAGGGCCAAAGCCATCTTTCTTTTGCCCACTAGATTATTTGACTTTTCTGGAAATTTAACCAAGATACATTCCTCATGTGGATAGCAACTGATCTGGTTCTCATGTTTGCTATTTTATTTAAAAGGCTACATCTATGATTTTCCCAAATAAATAAAATGTTCATACCACCCAGGTAGTATAATCTTCTGTTAATATAATTTCGTAAAAGAAACACCTCTCTGGAATGGGTCCTCTGGGTACATTCCATTTCAGGCTAATTTCATTTGAATCCTTCATAGTAAGACTAAGGTACTCTGGTGGCAAAGGTTTAACTGAAAAGCGAAAGGAAACAAATTCAACATGGAGACTGTTGACTGTTGAAGCTTAGTAGTAGCTCTTATCAAAAGCTGGGGATGCCTAGTAACAGAAGCTTCTGGGGATAAACTAGGTGGCTCAAGGCTATTCCCTATGATGTGAATTGAAATAAAAGTTGCTTGCCAACAGATACGTTTAATGAGAAACTTGGTTATTTTGGAAATATATTTTTTGGTAAGTTATATAGTGACAAATATTAAAGAGAAAAGTTAGGATTTAGAAGACTTGAAATCATTACAATCGTTTTTCCATTTTGTAGCATGAAGAACAACCACAGCCAGAACTGCGAGTACTTTTATTAACATTGTAGTTGTTAGCTTCTGTCAAGTCAGTTTCAACTCGTGGCAACCCCATGTGTGCAGAGAAGAACTGCTCCATAGGCTTTTCAAGGCCGTGACCTTTTGGAAGCAGATCACCAGGACTGTCTTCCTAGGCACCTCTGGGTATGTTCAAATGGCCAACCTTTCAGCTAGTAGTTGAGCACTTAACCATTCACACCACCCAGGGATTTCATAGCTAACTGTTATTTTGTGCTTACAATGTGTCAAGCACTGTACCAAGGATGTTACATCATAATAGCATTCATGTCTCACAACAGACTTATGAGGTGGTCCTGTGTTATCCTCATTTTACTGTTAAGGATATTGAAACAGAGATGTTAAGTAACTTGCCCAAAGTCACAAAGCTTGAAAGTGGTAGATCCAAGATTCAAACTCAGTTCTGGCTGACTCTAGAACCTATCGCTCTTGCAGCTGTTAGAACTGAGAATACAGACTCAGAAAATATTCAATCGTTTGCCTTTTTGAGGCCTGGGAATATATAATTCCACAATTACTCCATCACTAACACTAAATCAAAGTGCTGTGTACCAGGCCAATTTTTTGAAGCTGGGAAATTGTGAGTGTTAAATGAAAATGGCATTTTATCTTTCATCTAGTTCCTTCTCTTTCACACTTTTATATTTAATAAGAGCTTCCCAGTACGCTCTGTTGGCCCTCATTTTCCTAGCTTTGCATTTCCTTAGGGGTCTCTCACTTTATGTATCTCTCTCTCTTTCTGTCTCTCTGTCTCTCTCTCTCCCCTGTCATGTGGGTGTAAGTGGCCTAAACCAGAAACAATGTGTTTGAAATTGTTTGTTTATATCACCTATATTCTGAAGCTGAAAAATGAAGTAGCTGGATCTGATAAGCATGGATTGTGATGATCCATTAACACAGATATAGAAATCTTTATAGTCTGGTGACTTCAAGTGGGGAAACCTGCATCCAGTATTTTTTCCATTAGACGTCATATATTCAGCACACTCTATAGCTTGGTCCAAGCCCTCATACCTGTAAAAAGAAGTGTTGTGAGAATTTTATTTAAAGGTATCTACTAGTATCCGGGTGCTCAATTTTCAAGTATATTAAGATATTAAATTAATTTTAAAAATCATTTAATAACGAGCAATATTTATTGAGGACCTATGATGTGCCAGACCCTGTGCTAAGTGATAGGGATACAAAAGAACAACAGACATTGTCCATGACTTCACAGGAATCTTCACAGAACCTCAAAGACATGCACTTAGGTTATGCTGACTCACAAACAGGGTTTGTGAATCAAAGAATAAGATGCCTATTAAGAAAGCCTGGGTTTTTAAAAACGATTTTAGATAGCATCACATGTTTTATATTTGTGGAAACTATTTTAGAAAATAAAAGCAGATTTAAAGTTAAACTTCCAAAATATTGTTATGTTTAATAAAAGGAAAATGTTCTGAGGATACAACGCACATCACGAGATACACCTCAGAAAGGCCAACAGGAAGGCAAAAAAAAAGAAAGAAAAGGAGTTGTTTGGCAAGTTAATGTCTGATTTCCCATTCTCTCAGGACAAGAAATGTTGACATAACATTTAAAGTTATCCTCTTTCCAGTAATAAAGCTAATAGGAATTAAGGGGGGTTTCCCTACTGATTTACAAAACAACAAATGCCTGGTTGATTTTCCTAGTGAATAGCTTACAATGCAAAATGTAACATTATCTGTAAATGCAACCAGAATTCCGTGTGAAATGTGTTCAGTATAGCAGCTGATAAGGTGGTGATACAAATATTCAGACTCTACTAAATTCACTTTATGCAAAGTATTTAGGCAGAGTTTGCAAAATTGTAATCTCTTGGTTAGTTCACTTGATTAGAGTTTGGGAGACTTGAGGTCTAGCCTTGACTTTACACAAATTTATTGTGTGACAGTGGGAAGCCTTATGGTACCAATATTTTCAAATCTCTAAAATGTGAATATTTATCCCTCACTACATCACTAATATGACAATAAAATTATGTTATGTTAAACATGAACTAGAAGGTACAAGAGGGCAGGAACTTTGTCTTTTTCACACTTGTATTTTTTATCTAGAACACTGCCTGGAATTTAGTAGATGCTTAATATTTGTGGGATTAATGAATAAGTTAATTAGATGCAAATGACCTTAGGAATGTACCCATCCAATTCCAGATGAGAAAACTGAGACCTGAAAAGGAGAAATTATTTGTCCAAGGCTACCAGTTAATGATGCCAGAACAGAGACTAGAACCCAGCTCTCAGGGTCTCATTTATTACTTATTCATTATGATTTTCTAAAGCAAGATGTCATAATTTGGGTCAAAAACTCACAAAATAGTAACAATTCATTTTCTCTTTGTTTTTCTGTTATTTAATAAATACATGCTACTTGTCTACCATTTTACCAATGCTTTCAGCATTTTTTGCATTAATTTAATGAATATTTAATTATAGCCTACTATGAGCATAGCACTATGAAGGAAGTCAAGAGAAATATAAGATACTTAAAAGTTTAAGGGAAGAAACTAAGCATACATACATGAGAAAAATTTAAATACCATCTGGACAATAAATAATTAGTTATAATAATTCAGAGAAAAACTGAACACAGGTTGACAAGACCAGTAAAGGATTAAGGAAATATGATAGCAGATGGGCCTTGAATGATAGATAAAAGTTGGTGAAAGAGAGAGAGAATCAGACATTCTAAATGGCAATGCACACAAAGACATAAAAGGCTGTGACATGAGTGAGACAAAAAAAATATGTAAAGAAGGGTCTAAATGGACTGGAATATTCCCCTTGGTGATAGTAGAAGGTAATGTTGGAAAGCAAGGCAGAGACTTGACTGCCAGCCTAGAGTTTATCATGAAGGCAAAAGAGTATCAGAACTTGGTGACTAATGCTACCATGAAACAAATAAGCAATGAAGGAGAGGGAAGAGTCAAGATGGCTCCACGTTTAAAAGTCTCGGTGACAACAAAAGTAAGAAAGTCGGAAAAACGATACGGTTTAATAGGTACCTGCTTCTTTCAAAGGCAAGAATATAAAACATGCCAAAACTTTTTAGTTTATAACTCCATCTATGTAAAAGATTTTCCAGTTGCTTTTGAGTCGTTTCCGACTCATGGAGGCCCCATGTGTGTCAGAGAAGAACTGTGCTCCATAGGGTTTTCAATGGCTGATTTTTGTAAGTACATCTCCAGGCCTTTCTTTCAAGGTACCTCTGGGTAGACTTGAACCTCCAGCCTTTCTGTTAGCAGCTGAGCCCATTAACCATTTGCACCACCCAGGGACTCCTTCTAAAGGATGCAAACTTTAATCCTGTACAGATTTAGTACAGGAGAACACCTTCCAGTAGCTATCGCCTGAACCCACTTACTCCCATTGAAAACCTCCAATAATTGTAAACAACCATCATCATAAATACAACTCTAAATGATAAATTTAATTTAGTGAAAATACAGTTACTAATACTGTGGATTAATTTTTATAGATTCTTTCCTAATATGGAATTCAAATTATAAAAATACTTACCAGTAAAACAAATTGTAATTGGTATCAAAAGGGACATCCACGCCAGGTTTCCAAGAGCAGAGTAAATATTGCCAGTTGTAATATTCACAATCCAGATCCTGAATTTTAGTTTCCCCCCTTCCTAAGGAATGAAAGAACTGTAAATGTTTGAAAGGCCTGGTGATGAATAATTTGGGAAATCACTGTGCAATTTTATTTCATTTCCTTTGACCTCTCCATTTCATTTAGCGAGCAACATAATCAGGAATATTTCAAAAGGAGGATGCTGGAAAACACGTGACCGTAAGTGGGTCATGTAATATCAAAAACTTTTGAGGGCTCACTTACTGATACTAGTGTAAACATATTCAAAAGTATTAGTTAATAATTATAGGATGCTCCTAGCAGTTGAACAAATACATACGCGTTTACTAATATGACTCAACAACTAGGAACTATATTAATCTAATAAGATGTATATTTTGAAAAACGTATTTGCTGATTTAAAGAATTAAAAGATTGGTCACTCGCTCCTAAGAAGGATTCCATTTTGTGCCACACTGTCACAGTATCTATTATAGGTATAGCCTCGTGTGTAAGAGTTAAGGGACTAATTTCCTCTATCAATTATTCTAACGATATTAAATATGAAAAGAGAACTCTTTTTTAACCTTGTGGTGGTGTCCAATAAGTAGCTTCTGACCATGAACTGTAAACTTCTGATCCATTTGTGCACTGCTCTGGCAGAAGTGTGTGGATCTTTGCTTCAATGCCCTTGTTAAGATCAAACCCATCTTTGTAATATAGATTTGTAGTGATAATGGTCTGTTTAATGAAAAGATGAGACAAAGTCAAGCTTAGAAATGACCATGGGATGATGAGCCACATTAATAAAGCTAAACAAACCAAAAACAAACTTGTTGCCGTCGAGTCAATTCTGACTCATAGTTGGACCCTGTAGGACAGAGTAGAACTGCCCCATAGGGTTTCCAAGGAGCAACTGGTGGATTTGAACTGTTGACCTTTTGGTTAGCAGCCGAGATCTTAACCACTGTGCCACCAGAGCTCCAATAAAGCTAAGAAGTCATTAATACCCTGGAGAGTAGTCAATATCTAAGACACTCTTGATTATCTGATACAATGTCCCAGATATTTTTCTGGCAGAGTTTACCTCCGTGTATCATACAATTTCATGAGATCATTTGAATCTTAACCCCTCGTTAGAAAGGGGGAAGAAAAAAAAAAAAACTCTGCAAGGGAAAAAAATAAGCTCCATGGACAAGAACTTGAGCTATAACCAACTGGAAATTAAATAGATGATTTTCACATACTATATGCATATTAGTTGGCAAATAATTTAAGATCTTTCAAAGATAATATGAAACCTTCAAGAATTATATAAAGTAAAAAAAAAAAAAAAAAACCCCGGAGGTAAATGGAGTTACTTGATGCCAGAGAAAGCCAGGCAAACTGTGAGCTATTGGTGGATTAAAACCATATTTTTCTTATCCTGTATTCTAAATGCCTAGCAGAGTGCCTGGCACAAAAATTGCTCAATAAATGTTGCATTTTAATTGCTTCTTGAAACTGAACAGAATTAGGTAACAGAATACCTTGCATAACAGAAATATTTTAATTAACATGCTTGTTGAGTATGTAAGTAGTTAATAATTCAATAAGCTTGCATTGAACACTTACTGTAATATACTCAAAGTATCATGCTGTGTTCAGTGGGGAGGGTACAAAGATAAATAAGGCTAGAGAAAAAGCTTACAGTCCAGTAGCATATATATAAGACCCATATGTAAATACATAAATAACTGTAAAATGAGGCAAAACGTGTAAGCACTCTTCAAGTCCCTATTCCATGGGACCTAGTTGTTTTTTTTTCTTCCTGTCCTTCCAACGATAGTCTTAACACGGGTAGACTGATAGTAGTTGTGGCAGGATGCTCAGGAGATAACAGCAGGCATGGCAGCTTGTTATATCCTAGTTACAGTTATTCAAATACAGGAATTGGAGTTGACACTGAAGTCAGGAAACACTAGAAAACTCCTAGTAATCACTCTGATATTCCAAGTGCAAGCTTTACTTACCTTCCAGCTTTCGCTATCAAAGTTTCGGTATTTTAATTCATATTCTACTGTGCATTCTTTAAAATTATCCAGAGACAGTGGAGGTTTCCATTGCATAGAGATATAGCCTAAATATCCAGGATCTACTATTTCAAAATCCAGGGGAGGATTAACTGAAATAAAATAAAGTAAAATATTTCTTGTCTTATATTTTATGACAAAGTGTTAGATCTAGATTACTTCCAATTGTCCAACTGATGAATGGATGAACAAAATGTGGTATACTCATATCTTGAAATACTATTTGGCCATAAAAATGAGTGAAGTACTGATACATGCTACAACATGGATGAACCTTGAAAACATTATGGTAAGTGAAACAAGCCACACATAGAAGATCACATATTGTATGATTCCATTTATATGAAATGTCCACAATAAGCAAATCCACAGAGACAAAAAGTAGATTACTGGTTGTCAGCAACTGAAGCGGTTATGGGAAATGACTATTAATGTGTACAGGGTTACATTTGGGGGTGAAGAAAATGTTTGGGAGTTAGGTAGTGGTGGTCGTTGCACAACTTTGTGAATATACTAAAGACCACTGTATAGTACACTTTAAATGGGTGCATTTTATGGCATGTGAAGTATATCTCAACAAAGCTGTTAAAAATCTAGATTACTGCTGTGCATTTGTCCCCTCTTTAAGAAATCACATATGCAAAATATGACTTTGCTTCATTAGGAACTAAGCTTTCATTTTACTAAAGGCAATTTCATAATGACAAACACAAAGTCACATAGAAACAAGAGATTCAACATGGAGTTAGCTCTGTGGTCATGCAGTCCAGAATCTGGTCTATGATGGGACCACTTTATTACATAAACCTCTCTAACAGTAAGAACCAGTCAGTAATTACTCAGTGTTTACTATATGCATATAACATTGTGGCGGGTACAAAAAGGGGATTATAAACATAAAATAGTGCCACTGTAGCTTAACCTTTAACTGACTTAAGAATTTGGAGAACAGGCAGATCTTGTTGGTCCATTCTGGTTAACTGAATCCTCTAGTTAACTAAAAGTCAGAGCTATTCCTGGAGTACACCAAACCAGAGCCACTCTTTGGAGGGCCTCACAAAAAAATGACAGGCAGCTGAGTAGAATGACATCAGAAAAACAGCCTGTTTTGTTTTTGTTCGGGGAGGGGGGCTAGAGGGGCAGTGGGAGGCAATGACTCCATCATCTGATGATTTGAAAAGCAGCAACACACACACAAATATATATACATATGCACACATATATATTCATACATACATTCGATAATTCTATAAACTTTCCTACTAGCAAATCTAAAATATTGCCCTCATATTGCCTTTTTGCTAATAATTTATCTCTCACTGCTCCCCTTTGTTCATTTTAATACTTACTTCATAATACTTATTGAGGTGAGGGAGAGAACCTGCAGAAAGAAATTCTGGCACAAATTATGTTTTAACCAGGGACGCCATGTACCCATAAAGAAGATCCCTATTGAGGATGAAATGAGAATCCTAGTGTTTCACCCCTTGTGGTTAGAAATTTTGGTCAAATGCATTGCTCTAATTACCTTCTGCAATAAGAAAAGCACATTAGACATGATTTAACAATTCTATACCAAAACCAAACCTGTTGACGTCGAGTCAATTCTGGCTCATAGTTATTTTCAAATTTTACTTTAAATCCTGCAGTAGTTTTTTCTTATTTGTCTAATTATCGTAAAAGTCAGGGGTAAAAAGTCCAGACTTGCTGGACCGGTTGAGACTAGAGGACTCCCAGAGACTATTACCCTGAGATACTCTTTAAACCTTAATTCAAAATTATCCCTTGAGGTTACCTTTTAGCTAAATAACAGATTGGCTCATAAAATAAAGAATATCACCCGTGAGTAATGAGCTCCTTTAAAAATCATCCACAAGACCAAATGGTCAAAAATATTACAACCAGAAAGGAATGAAGGAGAATGATGACACGTTGTGAAAAATGTAACCAATATCACTGAATAATTTGTGTAGAAACTGTTACATGGGAACATAATTTGCTGTGTAAACTTTCACCTTAAACACAAACAAATATTATATACGTAAAAATTCATCAATCCACCTATGGACAGCTGATCTTCGACAAAGTGCCAAAGTCCATTAAATGGGGAAGAGACAGTCTCTTTAACAAATGCTCCTGGCAAAACTGGATATGAAACAGGACCCATACCTTACACCATACACAAAAACTAACTCAAAATAGATCAAAGACCTAAATATAAAACCTAAAACTGTAAATATCATGGAAGAAAAATAAGGACAACTCTAGGGGCCCTAATACATGACATAAATAACATACCAACCATAACTCAAAATAGCAGAAGATAAATTAGATGAACCAGACCTCCTAAAAATTAAACACTTATGCTCATCGAAAGACTTATCCAAAAGAGTAAAAAGCGAACCTACAGACTGGGAAAAAATTTTCACCTACGACATATCTGACAAGGGGTTAATCTCTAAAATATATAGAAAATTTCAACACCTCGACAACAAAAGACCAACAATTCAATTGAAAAATAAGCAAAGGATATGAACAGACATTTATCCAAAGAAGGCATTCAGGTGGCTAACAAACACACGAAGAAATGTTCAGGATCATTAGCCGTTAACCCGAACCAAACCCGTTGCTGTCAAGTCAATTCTGACTCATAGCAACCTTATAGGACAAAATAGAACTACCCCATAGGGTTTCCTAGGAGTGGCTGGTGCATTCGAACTGCTGACCCTTTGGTTAGCAGCCATAGCTCTTAACCGCTGTGCCACCATTAGCCATTAGGGAGATGCAAATTAAAACTACAATGAGATACCATCTCACCCCGACATCAGTGGCACTAATCAGAAAACAATAGATACTGGTGAGGTTGTGGGGCAACTGGAACTCTTATACACTGCTGATGGGAATGTAAAATGGTACAACCACTATGGAAAATGATATGACACTTTCTTAAAAAGCTAGAAATAGAAATACCGTATGAACTAGCAATCTCACTCCTTGGCATATACGGTAGAGAGGTAAGAGCCATCATACTAATAGACATATGCACATCCATGTTCATTGCAGCATTATTCACAATAGCAAAAAGATGGAAGCAACCTAAGTGCCCATCAACTGATGAATGGATAAACAAACTGTGGTACAAACACGATAAAGAATAATGGTGAACCTGTGAAACATCTCATAACATGGATGAATTTGGAGGACATTATGCTGAGTGAAATAAGCCAATCACAAAAGAACAAATATTGTATGAGACCACTATTATAAAAAAACAAGAAAAGGTTTACACAAAGGAAAAAAACATTTTTTGATCATTACCAGGGAAGGGAGGGGGAGGGAGGGTAAATCGCTAAATAGAAGACTCGTGGTAATACTGGTGAAGGGAAAGGCAATAAACTATATGGGGGAAGTCAGCACAACATGACAAAGGCAAAGGAAGACACTGAAAGGAGCACAAGAGCAAAGGGCAACTATGGCAATTACTATAACGTAGGCAATCCCGCAACAATAGTATTAACAAACAATAATTTATGAAGGGATACATAGGTATATAGGTTTGCTAAAGAGGCATAGGAGGAGGTAAGGGAGGGCGCCCACCTGCAAATATAGGTTAGGTTGTGGATATCTCTACATACGTATTTGTAGATGTTGCATGTATACAAATACAGACGATAGAACACACAAGGGACATAGTCATGGAAACTTCTTATGCACAATAAAACACCTCCCAGGACGAAGATACTGAGCTTGAAGGCTAAGGAACATAGACTCGGGGGACATCTACGTCAATTGGCATAACATAGTGCATAAAAACAATGTTCTACTTCCTCCTTTGGTGAGTAGCATCTGGGGTCTTAAAAGCTTGCAAGCCGCCGTCTAAGACACAGCTATTGGTGTCTTCCCATCTGGAGCAAAGGAGAGTGAAGAAAACGAAAGACTCAAGGGAGCAATTAGTCCAAAGGACTCATGGACCACGTGCAACACAGCCTACACGACCCCAAGACTAGAAGAACTAGATGGTGCCACTACCAACAGCTCTGACCCAGATCACAATAGAGGGTCCTGGACAGAGCAGGAGAAAAATGTGAAACAAAAAATTCATTAAAAAAGTCCAGACTTACTGGCCTGATAGAGACTGGAGGAATCCCCAGTACTATGGCCCTAAGACGTCCCTCTGACTTGGAACTACAGGCATTCCCGGACACCACCTTGGAGCCAAGCAAGAGACAGGCCTATAAAATAAACAGCAACACCTGAAAAAAAAACATGCTCTGTAGAACAATCATGTGAGACCAAAAGGGCAACATTTGCCCAAAGGTAAAGATGAGAAGGCAGGAACGGGTAGGAAAACCAGACGAAAGGAAACAGGGAACCCAGGGCGGAAATGGGGAGAGTGCTGATACAGTGTGGGGATTGCAACAATGTCATGGAACATTTTGTACAGAATTTGTTGAATGGCAAACTAATTTGCTCTGTAAACAAAATAAAATATTTTTTTAAAAAAAGCCAAGTGTAGTTATTAAGGAAAGATTCTAGTTAGCTGGGTACCAGAAAATGAGGTTTCAGATATTTGACCTATTTGTTAGAAAGGGTTATACAAAAGCATATGAAAAGTGTCTTTTGGTTTTATCCAACAAAATGTTTGTCATCATCAATTACCTTAGAAATGAGGCTGACTAGAAAGACAAGTCTTTTGTACATGGACTTCCTGAAACATTACCAGTAACAACCCATCTACCTGTTACGCAGTTCCATAAGGTAGGTAGAAAAGACAGTAAATATACTAATTTTAAAACCACTCCATTAAAATCTATTAAATGTATTGGTTTACCTTTTATCTCAGTGTTTGAAGACAAAACGCAGCCAAATGATGTGCAAATAAGAACGGTATATAGGCATCTGATATCCAAATGAACGAAAGCCATTTCCCCACGTTTTAATACTTTGAAATCTCCACCCTAAAAGGGAAAAATATAACATTTAAAGTTAACTTATTCCAAATAATCAAATGACTAAATGTGATTTAAAATACTTTGGGGAGGTCTCTGTGCGTTTTCTACCAAGAATTGGGAAAACTGCTCCCTTGGGCCATGGAAACAGACATAATCAATACCGGACTTAATATAATTGGAAAGGGAGGTTTCTAGACTCATCCTTCTTATGAGAGCAAAAACAAGGCAAAACAAAAAAGCCCTGCAACATCTCATCCCCCCACACACTTTCTACACATCACATATGATTACCAGGATCAGGTGGTTTCAAGTGGTCTTCAGCATGAAGACTGAGCCAGACCCACTAGAACGTTAGGATTAGTTTCCAAGGAGAACTATGGCATCATTAGTCTCCATAGCAATCCTCTCCCCTAGCAACACAGAAAACAAACTGACACGTACATATACCCTTTTCTGAGAAAAAAGTATTTGAAAGTTATCTTACTACTGAGAAAGCTCAGAACCTACACCAAAGCCTCAGATAATTCAGAACGTTGCTCCATTTCTTCATAAATATTAAATCATCATCTTCTACTCTCATACCTGTTCCACTTTATCCTGTGTTTCTTGTGTCAGTAAATGGCATCACCATCCTCCCAGTTGCTCAAATAAAAAAACCGAGGAATCTTCCTCAATTCCTCCCTCTCCTATCCAATCTCCCCATTATCATTTTGTTGTTAGTTGCCGCGGAGTCGGCGCTGACTTATGATGACCTTATGTGTAACAGAACAAAACGTTGCCCGGTCATGTGCCATTATCAACACCATTTCCTCAATTGAGAGATCTTCTTGCCCAGTCTTTCCTGCTTCCAATCCACTCTCCATACCACATATACCAAGAATGGCCTTTCTAAAGGGCAATTCTGAACTTATCCCCACTTTCTTAAAACCACAACAGCACTTCACTGTCACAGAATATAATTTAGTCTTTTTTATTCTTGAAGAATATTTGTTTTGTGATCAAAATTGAAAGGATTCATGCCTCCACATTTCCATCCAATCCCAAAATATTCTCCTTTCAAAGAAAAACCACTACTCCTAGTTTCGGACATTTTTCTTTCAGTCTATATTCCTGGAACCAAAAATTTTATAGGAAGTTAAGGATTAAAGGTTGCTTATCCCAACATTAAGAGACTACCTTTCTTTTCTCCTACCTAGATTAATTAAGCAGGACAGACCTCTTACCACCCCAGCCTCTTCATCTTACCTGGTCCATCTGTAATGCTTGAATGTTGCTAGGCTTCAATTAATACATAATAGAATCTTGGGATCAACGGTTAAAGAGCTAGCAGGTATATGGGATACAATGCTGGTCCAATCCTTTATATATATATTGGGAAGTCAAACTCAGATTTGTCCAAGATTACATAGCAAGTTAGTAACAAGCTGGAAGTAGGACAGAGATGGCATGATTCCCAGTCCAGTGCACTGTCACCTTACTATGCTGGGTCTCAAATGCTTGACTCAAGATTATGAAAGCTTTTCCTCTGGGACCCCACTCTTTTTTTAATTAATTAGCCATGCTGAATCAACACATGCTATTTTTGTTTCTTCTGTGCCTCATAGACTCATAAAAAGATACTATTTCTCTTACTGAGATGCAGATGTCTTTCATTTCCTCCTTTCCCACTCGCCAGGTCATTGCTGCCCACTAAAGCATCTGTAAGTAGTAGGTATGTTTGGTCACCAGAAGGCTACAGATCTTCCACAGAACTGCTCTCATTGATTGAAATGAGCATACTGGTTAGTTTTGGGTCTAAGGCAATAACTCTGACAAAGAGACATCCTTCCATATTACCTGTAAGGTTCTAAGACAATCAGGCTTCCCTTAAAATGCCCTCAGAGAGAGGCTAACAAAGTTCTCTCTCCCCTTTCAATCTGTCCTTTGCTATTTCACAGGACCGCCACGTACGGTATAAATGCTAAGTTGTTGTTCTTGTTCGGAGTTGCTGTGGAGTCACCTCCAACTCAGCAAAGTTAATATATGCTAAGAGTTAAAATCATTGGCTTCTATTCCATTTATAGGCACCTGAAAGCTGACTCAGGTGATGAAATAGCATTTCCTGGATCAGCCCAACACATTTAGACAAAGATAGGAAATGGGATAGCTGGCTTCCTAAGTCACTTATCTGTAAACCCACACAGCAGTTCATGATTTACACCTAGGGTCCACCCTAGCCTTTTATTTTGTTTTTACCCAAATGAACATGAAGACAATTCTTCCCTTGGCTTCCGGATTACAGGATTGTCACCAGTGTAAGGAGGGACTTTATGTACTGTATGGTTACCAGGAAGACCTGAGTTTTTCACAGGGTGGGAGGAGACCGAAAATATCACAAAGAAAAAGTGGGGAGAAGGAAATGCAGACACACAAGGTTTGAAAAAGTTTCTGATGTGCTCCCCCACTCTCAGTCCACAGTTAACAACCACTCATCTGGTTTTAACTCATTTTTTTTAAATGAAGAAACAACACCCAGTGAGCTGTCCAAGTTCACACAGCTTCTTGGTGGCAGAGCTCCGACTTAAAACCAGGTCTCTTGAGCCCCTTCCATTACTAGCAAACCATTTTTTTTCTTGTCATGAAGAGTCTGTCCTGCATTTATCCTGCCAGAAATGCACCCTGACCTTCTTTGATCTATTGTTGCCACCCAAACCATCAACCCCACCACACAGTTTTTTCAACGTATTTTTGGCAGAGTAATAATTCAATAAACATTTATTGAGCACCTGTTTTTCTTCAGATACTACGCCAGCTAAATTTTCTGTAACATACAAAGTGCAAGTGACAACAGTCATAATGTCTATAGTAATAATACCTCCTATCGTTTATTCAGCAGAGTCCTGGTGGAGCAACAGTTACACACTGGGCTGATAACTGAAAGGTTGGCAGTTCAAATCCATCCAGTGGCTCCACGGGGGACAAGAACTGGCAAGCTGCTCCCATAAGGATTACAGCCTAGGAAACCCTGTGGGGTAGTTCTACTCTATCACATTGCATCGCTATGAGTTGAAATGGACTCAACGGCACCTAACAACACCATTTATTCAGCATTCACAGCATCCCAGGCACTGTCCTGTGCTAAGCACTTTACATGCATTATCTCATATAATCCTCAGAGTCAGCCTTGGATGTACGCATTATTTTTATTATCATTTTAAAGACCAGAAGCTGAGACACAGAGAAGTTAAACAATTTCCCTCAAATCAAACAGGCTATAAAGTGAGACTTGAATTTGAATCCAGACATTCTGGTACCAAAACACTTGATGATAACCACTATGGCAGGCATTTCCCAAGTCTAAGATCAATCTGGAGGGCAGCTTCCTGTTTCTACCCACTCATCTTCACACAACACTGTTGCTTAGATCAAGTTTCCCACTGAGAATCTCCTTTGGAATGACAAACCTAAAGCTATTTCCTCTTTTCAGCATCATTCCCCGCTTCCTCAAAGTCATGCTATATAATCTTCTCACTCTAAGAATTGACTGGGATAATCTTTGCATTTTTGGAGAAAATCCAGGTACTTACCAATAATAAGTTTCCCAAGAAATGGATTATCACAGGCGGTTCTCACAGGCCCTCTCTTTCCTCTCCACTTTAGAGATATTAACTAGCACATTCTAAATTTCTTCCCTATCTGACACTCAAGTACAATGAAAAATCATATAGGCATTTCTGATACAGCCAGAGGTCAGACACAGAAGACAGGGGAGGTGAGTGGGGCTAAAAGACATCCAAAGCAAATTTAGGATCACAGCAAGGTGTTGTAAAAGCTAACAGGACTAATTAATCTCTGGAAAAACTAACTGATACATAGCTGAAGTTTTCTTCATAATAAAAGGCACAATGGTATAAATGTCAACCTGAGTTTCCATCCTGGCACTACCACTGATTTGCTTAGAGGCAAATTAGATTTCAATTTCTATCTATAAAATGGAGGTAGTAATAGCAACCTGACAGAGTTGTCTTGAAAGTTAAATGAGATAACATATGTGAAAGTACTATGAGAATAGTAAATTAGTCTGTGTACTTAATGTGGGTTTGCTTCTGAGGGCTTTGCCACTAAGAAAAAACTTAAAAATAACTTACATCAGCCGACACCTTTGCCCCACTCATTCAGCAAAATAGAACTGTCCACAGTTGATGACAGTTGATGACCGTTGATGACAGTTGCCCATGAGTCAATTCCGACTCATGGCGAACCATTGATAACTAAATCAAAAAACACTAAACCCGTTGCCGTTGAGTCGATTCTGACTCATAGTGACCCTATAGGACAGAGTAGAACTGCTCCATAGGGTTTCCAAGGAGCCGCTGGTGGATTTGAACTGCTGACCTTTTTGGCTCACAGCCATTGCACACTGCGGCTCTTAACCACTGTGCCACCGGGCCCCTTAAAAAAAAATCCATTGCTGCCAAGTCAATTTCGACTCATAGTGACCCTAAAGGACAGAGCAGAACTGCCCCATAGAAGTTTCCATGAGTGAATTCAAACTGCCGGCCTTTTGGTTAGCAGCCATAGCTCTTAACCGCTATGCCACCAGGGTTTCCCCAGAGCCCCTAGGCACTTATTATTCATCTCCAACTTTCACTACCCATGTTGGTCCATTATACTGCCTTTATAGATCATTGTCTTAATAACAATAATTTTTTTGTGTTTGTTTAGCTTTTTTAAAAATTGTCCTTTAGGTGAAAGTTTACAGCTCAAGTTAATTTCTTATACAAAAAATGTATACACATATTGTTATGTGATAGTAGTTGCAATCCCTATAATGTGACAGCACACTCCCCCTTTCCAGCCTGGGTTTCCCAAGTCCATCTGTTTAGCTTTTAATAGTTTACAAAGTACTTATCTAATTGGATTCTCATGACAAATCTGTAGGTGTTTTAAGGCTGGTATTATCAACTTACAAACAGTAAAACTGGTGCTTACAGAAGTGATGTGACTTGCACAAGGTCCTGCAGCTAGAACAATCCATACTAAAGGGAAAGAAAAAAGAAGTGAGGGAAAGAAAAAAGAAGTGAGGGACAGAAGAAAGGTGCAATTCTAATATGCAGTCACCTGCATAATATGTTGTTTTAGAAAAGTTCCTTCTCCACCTCAACAAAGTTAAAAAACAGAGTCTTCCAAAGTGTCTGAAATGACCACAGTTTTTGTTTTGTTTGTTTTTAAAGTGGTCACCAAGTTGCAGAGACAAATCATTATTAATTAGGAAAGGATGCAGTTTTGCAACGTCACCAAAGTGACTTCTAAAAAAATCACATTAAAGTAGTATGGACCTGTTATTTCTGCTGCCTTTGGGTAAAAAACAAAAACAAAACAAAACAAAAGTTATAAAATTAATACTTTCCATTCACATTATTTAAGGCATCTAAAAATATCAGCCAAAGCAATTAGAATAGGGCTTGGAGAAAAAAGAAAATGGAAAAATAAAAAGAAAGTAGAGGTTGAAGTGAGAAAAATGGAAAATTAGTGTGATTGCAAAGGTTTTACTGTGGCCTGCAGGTGAAATGATAAATGGATACGGTCTTACATGAGAAGGCATGGATTAGGAGACCTGGCTGTAGCCCCAGTTCTACCAGGTGACTTTGGAAAATAATAATAACAGGGACTATGGCTTATTAACCTTTACTGGTGTCAAACTCAGTGCCAGATGCTTGATATGGATTGTTGTTGTTAGGTGCGATCGAGTTGGTTCGGACTCATAGCAACC